GCAGTGCGATTCTGTCTGAACTTTTTACACGCGGATCCTATATAATCATCGCGCGGATCCACATCGGATTTCTAGAAATATTTTATTATTAAAGCAAATGTTAAGTGTTTGTATTTTATCTGATTTGTGTTCAATATATTCTCAATATCGTTTGAATGACGCCCCCTCGTCTGTGTAAGTGGATAATTTCTGCCAGGGTTTGAAAAAAAATTTTAATTAAATGAATTTTTCCTATTTTGCGTTTTATCATATTTTTTTCATTAGTTTTTAATGTACACTCGTAATCTATACTAATATTATAAAGAGGCAAGACTTGATTGTTTGTTTGTATTGAATAGACTCAGAAACCACTGGACCGATTCGAAAAATTCTATCACATTTAGAATACTCCATTATTCGTGATGAACATAGGCTATAGTGTATTTTCAAAACAAATTGGGTTCCGTATGAAAACTTCGATAATGTAACCCAACGTGTGTAAAAAATACCAAAAAATAAATAAACAAATAAAATATCGACGCACGCTGCGGAATTCATTGACAATAGAGCAAAGTAATGTACTAAAGTTTTATAAAAGACATTAATATCTACAAAATGTCCACGATACCATTTGTCTATCACAGTTAGGCCGCAACTAGACAACCCCTGCGATTTCACCCGCGTTAATTTTAAGAAAAAGTTTATAGTGAATCTAACTTCAAATATGGACTTAAGCTGTCTCGGACTTTTTTACAGAACTTTTAAAGGGGAACAATTTCGGTATATATGATTTTTGTGTACCCTTAACCGTTTACCCAGCGCACGCAACGGAATCTCACAAATGGAATATTTTTACCCGTTTTTGCAACATTTTTCATCGATACTCCACTGCTACTGGTCGCAGCCTGATGTTGTAAAAGCTTATAGCCTTCCTCGATAAATGCGCAATACAATGGGTCCTAAACTACGCAACAATGTTTTTACTTGGAATGGAAGGTTGGAATTATTGTGAAGAAAGTTATTGTGTGTCATCAAACTTTTGAACAAAAACTATAGTCTACACTAAAGCTCTATACCGAAGCGTGTCGAGGGCGGGCCACTAGTGTATATATATATATATATATATATATATAAGTTTGTAGAGAAACTTTTCAGGATTGATTTAAGACATAAATAAAGCCTGGATCTACAGTAGAATTCGAATAATAAGAGGAAAATCGGCCGAAAAACTTTTTGATTTTCCCGGCCGTGAAAAACAAAGTGGATGGCTACACAGACGAGGGGATAACTAAAGCTACTGAATGTCAATAGCGTAGGACCGTTTTTACGTCAAAAGTGTAGCAAACAAGCGTATGACCCGCCTGATGCTAAGCGGCACCATAGCCTACAGAGCAACCGCTTGCACGCTTGCGATAACAAAAATATCACTCGCACCGTTGCCTACCCTAACAAGGGTTACCAGGCTTAAAACTGCAAAATCCTGTCTGACATGTCTAAAAATCCTGATTTTGAAAAAAAAAGTCCGGTGACGCTCCTGTATTAAATAAAAATCATAGTATTTAAGTTAACTAATGTTGAAAAGTTGCTTTTTCCAGCTATTTCTCAATAAAAATGTTGACACGTCACGTGTTTATAGTTATATTGCGTGCGGCACCCGTCGCTTGAGCGGGCGGGAGGACATGCAAGTATGACAAAAATCCGGTCTGACGTAAAATCCGGGCGGAGTCCGGTCTAAAACGTAAAAATCCGGTCTAGACCGGTTTTATCCGGTCAGATGGTAACCCTAACCCTGACTCAATCCCCTATACCGTAGAGCTGTGGAACCTAACTTACCGTGAGTAATACAACACCACCAAAAGGTAGTGTTATTTTAGTCGGATCGGTGAGGAAATCCTTGGGAGAGGCCTATGCGTAGCATAAGTTGTTGTACGACTAATAGGATGATGATGTGAACATAACACTAAAGTGTGATGTTGTAAATGGCAGGGCAAAATCAGAGACAAACGAGTAATCAGTAGCCATAACTAAAAAAAACGGGTTGCATTCCGGGAGTGCCGGCAGAAGTGAAAACTTGAATATTACCGTTATGCATTTTTGATACAATATTTATTTATTGCGCTATCGTACACAAACATGACAATTTATATTACATTCAAAAGTTTATCTCTTTGAAAAATCAACTTACATGAATCACATTTAAGCGCACCTAGCGACATCTATTATAATAAATGCATTTTCTTCGCAATAAAGTTGCCACCTGGACATCCTAATTAGAGACTTATTATTATAATACGATAAAATAAAATATTACTATGTTTCGCCCAATATATTGAAAGTCAACAACCTTTACAATTTTATTGTTTTGTCTTACGAATTTTCGATTAGGCCACGTGTCCTGACGCGAGTTTAACAATTTTTACCCATTACAAAAAAAGTGTACAACGCCGCTAAAGAAGTTTTCACTTCAAAAATAAATAATTATGTCAGTCCAGGTGCCAGTAAGGATTCGAATCTGTACCTTACACTAATCGTATAGCAAAATTTTCTTAAAATTTATTAATCGTGAAGAATAATACTTAAAAGAAAAATATATTAAACATTTACCATTAAACAAAATACCTACTTAATACTTAGTCTTCGTATAATTTTCTCAAAACACACGATTACATATATTGATACTGAAACATGTCTTAATAACCTTACAAATGTTGTTACAACCTTCTTTTTTCTCTTTCCTCTTCTATGAATAGTTAACAACCACTTAGTCTTGAAGTATTTCCGTAATCCCTAGAGGCCGGTACCAAAGAGAAATTTGCCGAAGAATGACAAGCGAAATATTTTTGGCCCGCCCAAGGCCCGCCTATTCTCGTCGTGTAAGCTGTAAGCCGCAGTTTGATGTAAGTTATGTTGTACGGACTAAAATAGTATCGTTGTGATTTATTTTATAGATTGTGTTTTCGTGCTATTGTGACTCAATTGTATATGGATAGTTTGAAAGATATTTAATTTTCGTATATATTTTAACAAGAATGAAATAAAAAGTTACTTAGTTAAAGTTAAATAGATAGTTATTAGCAAATTTTTTAAGCTAAAAGACATGCTAATAAGATGTCAATTAATCTGTGAGTTTGATTAAAGTTGGAATGTAGGTAACTGATACTCGTAATTTGGGCAATACATTTCCGAAATAAGTTAAACCCTGAATTTTATATATAGCCATGGAATCCTTTGTTTGTGAGTCCGAATGGCACTTGATCGGTTTTTAGCATAATTTTACTTTTTTCGTCATGGTCACTCAGAAAGACTGCAGCAAGTCAAGATTTCGGTTGCAGCCAAGTTTAAACATATTTTCGTTTTATTTTTCTTAATATATATATATATATATATATATAAATATATTTTAATATAAAGTCCTATGGATGTGTCCCATCTACCTGGCATTCCGCAACGGAAAACGGAACTTTTCACTCGTTCTTGTGTGTGAGTACACATACCTGCGATTTCGTCTGGTGGAAAACGAAAAATGGATGACGCACATTAAACGCTTGTTACTTTTGCTTTATAGACCAGTAAGAACAGACGCAGGGAGGTTGCTCCCCAATATGTGTGTGTATGGATTCCACCAAATGGCGACTCAAGTTTACACATACAATGGGCCTGATTCTGACATCATTTACTGATCTTATAACCTGAGCTTTAAACTAATTTTGACAACAATCTCTCCTTGTACAACTGCGAGCAACACGGACCTGATCCGAAAAAAGGAAGCAATATCTTACCACTTTCATACAAAAATGATAGTAACAAATAAATAACAAAATACTGCACACATTATGCAGTTATATCATTTGCCCTTATGGGTTATTTTAATAGAGACGAAAGCTGCGTACGCCTGCTCCTCTCCTGGCAATGTCTGTGTTTCTCTAGTTATGTGTTATAGTTTAAAGTATACACGACTGCCCCAGAAAGTCATCAGTTCTCAGGTTTAGTAACTTTCACACGGCCCCAGGTCATTGCTCATGTTACGGCCAAGGCATGTGACAGCGGGCCCGCGTGATAAATTATCTGCCAATATGATTGTTTTCACTTAAGCGCCCCTTGGGCGGGTAAGTTATAATTCCAGGCACATTTATCAATTTATGGGGATACTATGAAGCGCCTTCAAATCAGACCATTGTGACATTTATGAAGTTGGCCTACCTCATAAAATTGACAAATTAATGTTTCAATTTGAAGGCCGATCATTTCAACCTACAGCCACTTTTTTGTTTTAATCTAAGACCTATAGTGAATGATAAACCCACCAGAGCTTTAGTAGTTTAAGTTGGTGTTCGAACCTTGTTTGTGTGAACTTTAGCGTGATCTTAATCACTGTATATTGAGTTTATAATATTTATCGTGATCCTATGTGTCAAATTTCATTTTAGTCTCAGGTGTTCCAGCGTGATTGGATCATAAGCCTTACAGTATTTGCGAACGTATGCCATTACTCATTTTGTCATTTACAATCAAATTATAATGGTGTTGATAAATATGAGATTACATAGAACAGGATCTTCCCTATTTTGGACTCCTGTCTTCCATTCCTGAATAGTAAAGAAACATTTCTGTGTCATGTATTATTTTGTTACCACCTAGCTTGTAATGGAAGTAAACAAAGTTTTTATTTTTAATTATTACGTCAATTTCCAATCGAACTCATAATTTCCGTAGGTGTTGTGTGTGTGATGCTCTGCAGCAGTGCCACCCCTGACTTAAGTGATATAATATAAATCTTAATGTGGTGTACGAAGTGCGTACACAACGTACAATTAGGTAATCAGAATTGATAGAGGCCAAAAATTGGTAGAGGCCCGCAGCTATGCCGATGACTTCAAAGTTTTCGCATTATGAAAGCTACTATGTCTCGGTCGTGGGCCTCGTGGGTGAAGATGTGGCAAATAAAATTGTTTTATGAACATACAAACCTCACTCGCCAACCAAACTTTTCATATTTTATCTGTACACTTTAATTTCCGTAGGTGGTCACACGGACTGTTGTTCCACCAAGCGATAGTCGACTGCGCGCGCGCCGCCATCTTGCTGCCGCTGGGCATCGCCGTGTTCCGCTGCCAGCCCGTCTACAAGTGCTCGCTCGTTGAAACGGCTTTCTTACTACTGGTACGTAAGTGAAGGGACCCCAAAATAAAAAGAAAAACAATAATAGAGAAAATTCAGTTTTACATTACACACTGAAATTATTAGGCAAATCTACATCACAACTTTACACGATGAGTGAATAGGACGCGCTCGCGCATGAAACCCTCTTGACATCCGTCAGTTGTCATTTTGACAGATACTGCTGCCGATAGTTCTTCTAACAGAATTCATACATGCTCACACAAACGCCATATTTATTCCTTAATATTCCTTGGGGGCTCACTGTTCCTTAAAGATACTTAAATGCTTGAGAATCAAAAATTTAAAACATTTCTTTCTTAGCTACACTAGTAGTATTTTATAGCGCGATTGAAAATTAGGGCAGTTATAGAGTTAATAGTGAACGCAATCATGTGCAGGATTCAGTTCAGCGACATCCCGCACGCACCTACATCGCCATACATTTTGTTTAAGGCTGCTGCTGTCTCAAGAGGGGAGACGGGCAATGTTATTTCCATACAAAGGTTCTCGACTGATACCACCTCGATTATGTATCATTAAAGAAATGATTTTAATACATAAAATATAATGCTCCTATAGCATAGAATGAGTAAAATTATATTTTGTCTTTCTTTTTTCTTTAACTTGTTTTTCAAAGAAACTAGAAGCCTCCAAAATGCCTAAAATATTTTTTTTTATCACCACTAAAGACGTTTTTTGTGGAGATTCAATAATCATTTACAAAAAGCAAAACATAGAGGCATAGTATTATTACTACCTATTATTTTGTGGGTAAAATTTCTTTTGTAAATATCTAATTTTCGAGGACGAAATCGTCAGGAACCAAATCTTGAATTTTGCAATTTTTATACGCAATTTTCAGCATTAACTACTGTTGTCCCCATGGCACGGTATTTGCCAATGCGCGACAGCAATGGCTTTTTCAGATAGCTATTTCTCAAGCGTCACTCAGCTCGCGTCCGCTCTTAAGCTGGGCTCCGCGTGCTGTTTCATGTAATGTACCTCAAGAATCGAGTGCTGTTTCATGTCATTTCACAGAGCAGCGATGCGTGAGGCGGGTCTCCCGTCGCACGCAGCGCGGGCGGCAGAACCCGCCCCGCGGTTGTCACGGCTTGTTCTTCTATGCTCTTATCTCCGTCGTCTTTAAGCTAGGTAGTATTATCAACAAAAATAATCCATTATCAACTGTTCACAAGCCTGAACAAAATTGTACTGGCAGCGAGAGGCAGGTGTCCGTCACAGGTCCTGCGACGTGTTGAGCAGGTTCCGCAACGGAGTAGGAGCGGATCTCCGCGACCGACGTCCAATCCGTGCTCAGCTTCAGCGGACGCCCGTATTGTGTTGAGACATATGCTAACTTAACATCCGCCATTAAATAAAACTTGAACGGTATAGATGCACTGATTTATTTATTTATGACGATTCGCATCCTTTTCAGGCTGCGTTGTTAGAATTATACGCTGCCTTAAAAGAATGCGAATTATCATTAATAAATAAATCAGTGCATCTGTACCGTTGAAACTTGTTTTATTTAATGAATGGTGTACGTGAAAACCTAAGAAACAAATATCCGCCATTAAGTTCGATTCGCACTATAATTTGTTGGATCTAAATTTTTCCGAAAACTACAGTGATAGGTGGCCCATCGTCTACGGCAGTTTCGGAATATGCCCTATCCGTCGTCAGGTTATTCTGTCTCCGTTCTAGATATCGCATTGTGTTCGTTCTTTCGCTTATAGTCTAACATTACCTGTGCTAGACTGTATACTAATTATAGTCACTACCACGAGCAACTGTAAATTATTTGAACAAAAATTTGGGCTCGTGACATTTAAATTCAATAAAAACATAAAGAAACACATTGTCTGTAAAAATACAACCAATCTTAGGCAATCTTATTTGAAATTCGAATTAAATACTTACGAAATTTTAATTTTGCGTGTTAGTGCCTACGTGAATTAATCGTATTATATATTATTTTAGGGCCAGCGCTGCGTTAAGCGGCAGCACACCATTAACTTTTAGGTTTGATAACTTCTTAACTTACAATACGCCATCGCTATATTACTTGTTAGAATATGTTTGTTCACATATTATTTTACAACTTACTGTGACAGCGAATATAGATAATTAAAATGCCTGAAAATGATCAAACAAATTCTCTATTTTTTGGCAAGCATTGGCTAAGTGGGAATTGTTACAAAAAATGCTGTGACTCACCCCGGATAATAAATTTTATGGTAATATTTAATACTGACTAACAAGAGGAGGGGAAAACGCACCCATTCATTGCAGACTTAGTAGCAAATTAAGGTTAAGAATTACTAAGCCACAGTCGTGATTTATCACCACTTACGTTCAGAATTCAGCTGGATGAAAGAATCTTAGAAATTATCCTCCACTTAATTTCATAAAGAAAGGAAGCAGGTATTGTAAGCTGCACATCCAGTCTTTTAAGATACGCTTGCAAATACCGAAAATATAAGATTTTATATAAGTTTCAAAATGTTTATAGGGCAATAACTTTTGCTATTACTTTGAGATTGATTCTGATAAAACGTATTGATGGCGGTCTATTACGGCAAAAGTTGTGAAACAAGTCTTATGACTTGTTAAACTTCGAAGTATTATTCGATTTATTATTCCTATTAACATCGCAAAGTTTTGGATATTTAATAAACTCAGGCAGATAGCGAATAAACTAATTGATGGAGTTCAAAATATACTTTATTTACGTTAAAGAAGTAACTTTTAATTAAATAGCAATCATGTAAAAAAAAAAGGAAGTAAATAAATGTTAGTTTAGTCTCAAGTAAGTAGCAAGTTTCTCAAAAACCAGATGACTGGAATTTTCATATAAACGGCATTTGCACCTCTATCATTATTATAACGGAAATAAGAATGAACAAATTTAAGAGGGGAGACGGGCAATGTTTCTTCAATACAAACTTTCTCTCGACTTATTCCTCCTTGATTTTTATTTATTTATTATCTTAGGGCAGCTAACAGCTTATGAAAATAAAGATAACAGCCAAAAATATTACTAGAAGCTATTGACAAGCTACCACATATAGAATCAAAAATTTATCACTAAAGAAATGATTTTCCTACATAAAGTATCATTTTACTCATTATATGCTCCTACGTCTTAGTTTTTTCGATAACTTGCGTTTCAAAGAAACTAGAAGCCCTCAAAATGCCATTAGTAAACAAATTTTTATCGCCACTTAAGACGTCTAGTGTAATGATTCAATAAGCATTTACAAAAAAGCAAAAAATAGTAGTATAACTACTTATTATTCTATGGATAAAATATCTTTTACATCTATCTAATTTTCGAGGAGAAAATTGTCGAGGGCCAAACCTCGAATTATAATTATATAATAGCCAGTATTAAAAATTCAAATATTTATCAATTTTTACTGAATAGTCCAGTCACCGTAGACAAACAAATGTTATAGTTATAATGTGGTTCAAATAAGAATAGGAAAGCTAATGACCTCTATCTGTCAAATGTCGCTTGAAAAGTACGGTTTGAAAAAAAAAAACTTGGAACCCTTTTTTAGCACTCCGCTAATTCAAGAATTAAAACCAAACATTTGTAAACAAACAATAACAAATATTGATAATTAATATCGGTTGATATTTTTTTTAATTATTATGCTTTGGCCATGAATGGTTGATAACCTAAATCGCCAACCAAATGTCACTTTAAGTTGCGTTCAGAAACTCGATTTTAAACTTTCGTTTACATAAAGGATACATGTTCGTATGTGACCTAGTAATAGTGCATGATTATTCATAGCTACTCCGGCGGTAATGCAGAGCTGAGCAGAATAGAAGAGCTAGATTCTGATTAATGTTTTTTCTCACAGTCATAATAAATAAATATTATTAAAAATCGGTGGTTTTTTTTCTCTCAATCTTAGTTAATAAATGTTATTAAAAAATCTGATGCTTTTTCTTACTTAATCTTATGATTTTTCTCACTTAATCTTGCTAAATAAGTTTTATTAAATAAAACCTTTTTTTTGCTCACTATTCCTATTTGGTTTGAATTGACAGCTATGACATCACAATATGACGCCCAGTCGGTCCTATTCTTAATTGAATCGCATTATATATATATTAAACATTTAACTGCAAGATGTTTAAATCTAAGGAAAATTTTACTAAATAAAAAAACACGCGGACTAGGCAGCTGACGGGACCCGAACCTGCACCCTTCGCTATCCGGGCGAATGCAGTGACCATTATGCTGCATAATGGTCACTGCATTCGCCAAACATTTCATAAGATTGAAAAAATGTTATGTTAACATTTCTTGTGAATACAAAATTTGTTCCTACTTATTACTCATTTTATTATTAAATATATTATTATGTTTATTCCTTAGGTGACGGTGTCAACAGTAAATATGCTCACGACAGTTCTTAATGATAGTCCCATTTTTCCGGAAAACGAGGAAGAGCAGGCTGATTTATCTGCCCCATTACTGATGGATAGCCCGCAGGTAATAGCCTAATCTGAACATTATTTTTTATTGCCCCGCCCGGTTAAATTACAGGAGCAGCTATATATAAAAATGTCCAATTACAATGGACGTGACATTTTTTTGCACTCTCTCTCACTCCTCTGTCTGTATATTTCAGCAGCAACTTTTTCTTTTATTTTAGTAACTACTTGCAGGCGTGTAGCATCCGAGGCCTCATCATCGCTTTCCATCAGGCGAGATTGTGGTCAAACGCATTGCCTATTATGCATAAAAAAAACTTTACGTGCTTACCTGTACATAAATCTTTAAAAAAAACCCTTATAGCTACTACTTTTGCCATTTCAAAGAGCGAGACATTTCTTAACTTCCTTCCTGCAATAGATATATGAAACAAATAAATGATAAATTTAAATAAAATTGAAGGTTATAGCACACACACATATTAAATTGGAAAGGGATCGTCACCGTATCAACTCGAGCCTTTGTTCAAGTTGCATGTAATTTTTACCTTGAATACATAATTAAAAAAAAACAGAATTAAATTATAGTTGCCTAAGGGAATCGCGCCTTTAGGCCCAAATAAAAGACACTCAGTGGCGGCGCTAGACCACATGTGGACGTCGGTGACATCAAGTTCGCGAGGCCTATTTTACTTCGCAGTAAAAAACCGTTAAATTAAGTGAGCCAAATTATAAAATAACGTATGAGTAAACGAGTTTTATTGTTTATAATCAAATGATGACAAAAAAAAAATAAAAAAAAAGAAATTTAATTACAAAAATAGTGTTGCCAGACAGACGATTCTGAATACCCGTAAAGCACTACTCGCTTCCATCACGCAAGTGTTCGAAAATAATAAAAGTCATTATCATCTGCTTAGCTTTTCCCCCGAATTGTTCGGGGTTGGCTACCTACAGGCCAGGAGAAACGAAAATAAATAGGTAACTTGTAAAAATTTTTTGCGAGACCCCCTCAGGGGCGAGGCCGTCGGCGGTGGCCGACGTCGCCGACGCCTAGCGCCGCCACTGAAGACACCTCAATCACATCATGCACGAAATGAAAACACATGAGCCGTAATACGTCAGATTAGCTTTTACTTTTCTTTACTACTACGATATTTTTGATAACTTTGAGTGCTTAGATACCCTTAAACAGTTATTTGCGAATATAAAATTGATTATCTTAACACATAACATAATTATGAATTATGTTGTTTCGATAATATTGACCACTCTGGCCGGTTACAACACTAAGATTATCTAACAGGGCATATAAAATTGAATTTATGTATCTTCGATAATCTTGATCAATCAGTCTTCGCACTACGATTTTTATGAAGCTGACTGTACTATGCATCAAAACTCATGTCGATTGTATTTTTGAAAATAATTATAAACACTCAAAATATGATATAAAGTTTATGAAAAAGATAGAGCTATATTTTTGCTCAGATTGTTTATTATAGTTAAATACATGATTCGTGTAGGCATAGTATTATAGAGAATTATAAATAAAACAGTTTGCTCTAAACTTAAATACAATTTGATTGACTATCGAGTAAAATTTTCAACAATAGTTATTTATCCATTTAATGTTTTTTATAAAGTTTTTCTGATTTCACACCGTGATTGTCTTCGACTAATGTTTGTTACAGTGCGTCCTTTTCGGTACATTCATGATATGGTTCGCTTCGATCACAATAAATCTTGGTCCGACATTCTTATCGGGAGCTCTAGCCGCCAGTGCCGGCTCCTATGGATCTTACGGAGCGTCGCCCTCGTGTCCGCTCGTTCGGGGACCCTTCAGGCATTATGTACTCAATGCCCTCTGGATAGGTGTCAATGCTGTTTGTGTCGGCTTGACGCTGTTCCATCTCAAGAAACTTCACAGGGACCTAACAAAGGTTTGCTCCTACTTTATACGAAGCAATATTATTTAACAGATGGCATGGAGAGGTTTTAAACGCTTTATTGTCTTGGTTTGCGTTACCATACACATCATCATTTCGTAACAAATATTTCTAAACTTCTCCATGATATTTGATGACATTAATTAACATCAATCAACCATTAAACGCTTGGTGGAAGACGAAATTCTAGAAATTTTGAATGAGACAGTTTTGTAGTGTATTGCTAGTTCTTTCGCGAGTCACTAAACTAGTGTCCAAAACTCGCTGAAACTCACAAAGTCATCTACATTTCGAAGTCGCTGCAATATTGTGCATACTAGCCTCACGTTGGCCGGACTAGAAATTTTTGTTGGTACGTTGCCAATATTCCTAGCAGCATTTCGTAAATAAGATTTAAATTTTCGAATTGAACGTTTATATGGATGCTTGCTCCTTCCAATTGCATCATCCATACCAAAATTTTGCTGAGTGCAAACTTGTGATATACGATTCACGTTGCGCAAATAACATTAGGAAAATTGGATAAATTTAAATCTTATCGCATGGCAGGCTAACGTAGAAGCAGTTCGAGTAGCTGGTTTAGTGACTACACTCGTCAGCATGGCAGGTGACAACAGGCGCATGGACTCGCTGCCCAACAGCGTTGGACCCAGGGTATTTATATTTAGTTGCATGTCTCTCAGTATACTGTAAACTAGTCACTCTTCTAGATCTGTAGTGTGTATGACTTAGTCTATTAATCCATCTGTTTCAAAACATTAAAAATAAGTGTAGTATATATTTTTTCAATTACATTTGTATCCTATCCATCCCCCCCTATCCTGAATTATTCCTGAAGTAATCTAAACTTTACTTTTTATCAGCACCATCTTCAAATTTTTAATCTGACACAGCTATCTTTTCTGATCTTCCTCTTTAAATAAAATCAAACCTCCTTTTATTCTTTCAAAGAACACCATCGATTAATTCTTTATTTTAATGCATCTGTTTTGATTTGAACAGACTGTAGACGGTACGCTGGCAGATGGGCACAGCCGTCCCAGCGGAAATCTGCCGCTAGGTGGCGGGCGTCGCCTGAGGGGGTACCTCGCGCGGGTGGAGCGGGAGGGGGTGCGGCGAGTGCGCATGTTCCTTGTCATCACCGCTGCCTACATACTGTTCTGGGGGCCATTGTTCATGATAACGCTTTTGCATCACCCGGCTTTGACATCGCACGTAGCTTATGAAGTACGTATACCAGGGAATAGGGATATAGAGGATATTCTTGTAGAAAATATTTTTCTACGTGGAATACTATTGAGTAATACGGCACATGGCTAGTAATTTTTTTAACACTATTTGTTATTTCAAAGCCTTAGACGAAAACAAATACGACGCGCCTGTTCCGCGAGCCCTGCACTTGAGCACTGGGCATTGACGTGACAGGCAGCCAGTGCTTATTCATACACGCGCGTCTTGCTTCTAGTACTGAAACGACCGCAGCGCGGTTGTATGAAGCTTTGTCACTGTAGTTTCGGTTTAAACGTTTTGAAATCAAAATTAAGTAAGGAGGAGTGTCAATGTGTCACTTACCAATAATAAAAAAATAATCGTATCTTCACAATCACAGCGAATTAAGAGGTAGGATAAAGGCTTTTTTAACATTCGCTCTCAAAAAGTTTGAAACTGATTTTTTGATTGTTTTTACAAAATTCGTATACGCAATGCAGTTTCAAATAAATCTCTATACTAAAATAGGTATGTCAGTACACTGACTACTAAACTATCGATGGACATTCCTACTGATAGGTAATTAAGCAGTGCATGAATAATGGAATAAGCAATGAAGTACTGATTAAGTGAGATATACGCTGGATTCATTTGGTATTACAATGGCGGCAATGGCGGCGAAATTGGTTCTTCGATTAATATTATAATGAGATAACGCTTAATTACTGATGGTTTGTAATAACTTTTTTTAATAAAACATAATTAATATGGCTGGGTTAAAAAAAGACTATATATTTTTATAGAAGGTCTCCTAAATTATTTCTTATTTCTAGCGTACCTATAGTGCAATTCCTGCTATGTAGCAGGAATTCATAATAGTTATGTACTTACCTTTAGATATCCTATAGATTTTTGACAACATGATGTTTTTGTCTGTAGTTAGAAAGGAGTGAGCACACTTTTTTAGATAATTTATTTAGGAAGTACTATATTTTGCAACAAAAACTAAAAAGGGGTAGACAAATGAAGCCAAGTTATCGGTTATGTTGGCGCAGAACAGCCAGGGGGAGGAATTAATGGGCCAAACTGGAGGAGACCTTTGTCAATAGACAACCTGTCGTAATACGTTCCGATGTCAGTGAATTAAATTTCAACTTTGTAGGAGGATATTTTTTATTGCCTTCGAAGGCAGACGAGCGGACGGGCCACCTGATGTTAAGTGGTCACCGTCGCCCATGAACATCATGTGCTAGGGACACAGCCCTGCCGCTGCCTTACGCGGAACACTCTATTTAAGCCCCTCTTGAAGCGGATCTTGTTATAATACAGAGGGAACACCGTGGAGGATAAAGGTTATTTTTATTAACAGATGTACTTCCAAATCACACTGCACATATCGTACGTGCACGCTGCAGTCAACCCGCTGCTGTTTATGGCGCTGCATCGTGCGTTGCGGCGAGCAGCGTTGCAACTGTGCTGCGGCTGCTGCATTCATTGGAGCCAATTTGTGTTGGCTTTGACTGCGGCGGGTAAGTTTAGCAGGAGTCTTGTAGAACTAGAGAGGATAGGCATAGATATATCAAAATACTATCGTATACCTTATACCCGGAAAGGTTCTTAATGGCGACTACGTACAGGACTCCACTCAGTAGACAGGCCCTCCACCAGGTGGATCGACGAAAGGTCAAGGTGAAGGTCATGGAAAGATGGGAAGCGAGTGGCGCAGGATCGATCGGTGTGGAAATCCTTGGAGGAGGCCTATGCTCAGCAGTGAGCGTTGTACGGCTGAAATGATGATGATGATGATCGTATACCTTATCAAACTTGGGGAGTCGTTTTTTATATGATTCATGGTACTTGTCTAATAGTAGCTGTAAGAGAAACAAGTAACTGTAACTGAAAACTGTAAGAGAATATCGCTGCTAAGCTATAGAAGCAGTTTAGCCACTCTAGCACGTCTAACTGCCAAACTTAATAGTATCTTGACAAATCAGCTTGACAAAAACGTGATAGCATATCGTGGTATTCATGCTACGAGAGCAGGGCAGTCCATAAGTATTAGCGACCCCTAAAATTTCTAAGAGAGTTAATTAACTACATTTCAAAAAATTATGATTAGAAAATAATCACGAAATTCGAGCAAATTTTGACACTATGTTTATATTCCAGCCCAGTCCCCGCTGGCGCCGTCGTCGTTCTCGCCAGCGGCAGCATCGCCGGAGCCCCCACCAGCGCCGCCTCCTCCCATGGTCCCGCCCGCGCCGTCAGTCCCCGCGCCGCCGCCGGCGCCCGGCACGCCTCACACGATGATGGTAATTACCTCTTATATGTAAGTGTTGACACCGTAATACGTGGTTTACTCACTCGCACTGCCCCGCACGTATGACCCCCTGTTGTAGAAGTCCTACCGCGAGTTCTTGTAGTTTTTAGATGTGATTGTGAAACAGTGTTGGCGTGTTGTACAGTCTTAATTGAGCCACCGATTCAATTATCCTAAAAATGTATTTCTTTAGGTTAAGACCGAATGCAGTATATGATCGAGAGACTGCCTGTTACTTTTATGATAAATATCAGATTGATTTATAATTATTTGAATTGGTTGTGTCTTTTTTTGACTTTGCAATGCGATAACACTAAAATCGATGCATGATCCTAATACCGACTTTAAAAACATAAAAATCTCTGTGTTTAGTGGCTTCCGTAGCTGCCCTTCTCTAAGTTAAATGATATCAACGTCTCGCACTCAGAGTTGGGAAGTTGAGGGGTGTGACGCTGAGAGTATGTCGAGTGCGCGTGTGCAGGGAGACGAGGATATGATGGGCGAGCCGTGGAGCGGCGGCGTGCGGCGCCCCGCGCGCTCCCCCAGCCCGCTGCTGCCCGCGATCTGAGCCACCCGCTTCGACACCGACAGCGCCGGCACCGGCTCGTACACATATCCGACCCACTTGGCTGCCAATATCGTCCACCTTGCCGAGACTTTGCTGTATATAAACTAATCGAATTTGTACATAATAAAGTCGTATGTTTAGATTTGTGTCTATTTATTATTGTCAAGTTTTATGCTTAAGGTAGGGTTACCATTTAGAAATTGGAAATTTATGATAACTTTTAATAATTTTACGTTTTATTTGCCGACTGCTACCTGTACCATGAACTAAATCGCCTACCATGTATTTGAACTACTGCTATTATCATCCTTGGCGAGACTATGTTGTAAAAACTTGAGTATAAGTATTTTGTCAAATTGGTTGTTGCAACTTACATCTCTGTTAATTTATTATGGACCCCTTAGCTAGCTAGCTAGGGTTTTTCGATAAAACAAATTGTATAACGTATAATTTCAATAAAAGACAGGACATTTGCTTATTATTTTCCTTGCATTTGCCTTGCATTTTGCTACCTGCGATCTGATACATACACATATCTGACCTACTTGGCTGCCCTTATCACCCACTTTGCGGAAAGTATTAGCTGACCCGCCGAACTCCGTACTGCTTACAATAATTTGCAGGAAATGAAAGCTATCCGTTCAAAAGAAACTGCTTTTACCATAGTTAGCAACTGTTTGGAGAAATCATATTTAATGCCAGCTGAAAATTCATTACATGGCACTACAAACTCGATTAAAAGAGGCAAGCTCTTATTTCATTGGCAGTAATCAATCTTGGAATAAGTCGCATTGTTTGGCGGAAATCGCTAGACATTGCGCTCCCGAAACACCTTAATCTATCTATCTACAATTTTTTAAAACAATATGGCCGTTATTCCAGAAGAAGCGACTGTTACCCCAATGTTAGATTTCCCAAGTTCAGTGGCCAAATTCTAAAATTTCACGTCCGTATTCCGCGGGAAAGTCAACGGAACCGTGTGATCACTAACGACTGGTCTCAATAATCGTGAAAGGTTACTTTAACATAATGCAAAATGCATTAAGATTGGTTTCCAGGTATTTGCCCAATATCCTAGAAACTCAGTTAGTCCATTAGTAAACCCTAATGACTTAACTATTGGGAAATTGTTTTATTTTTTGGAAACTAAAGATTTTTGTCATGCTGAAAGGTTGATACCATTTGCTAGCCAAAACATAAGTATAATTTCTGTGCCTCATTAGTTTGATGTATGCTATTTTTGTTATATTCCTTTAAATATCTAGTACCCATATCTCTGATTTGGTTGGAGTGAATGCCAAAGCTCAGACTTATGCGTCTCCTGATGTGAGTTGTCAATTATGGATGCTGGCGGAATAACAAACTTTATTTTAAAACTATTTCTTGCATTACATTATCTCCGTGATTTTTTTAAACATTTTCTTTTGTACAAACCTTCTCATTACAATATCGTACACAATAAAAAAATAATTATCCAATTTGGTGCAGTCGTTCGGAAGTGATGTGCATACATACCTTTCCAAAATTCATTTTTATATAACTAGATATAACTTAAGAATTCATCTCACGGCAATAATTGCTTTTGCTTATATAACTTAACCTGTAGAATTTGTACAGTGTTCGCAGTCGTGATATCACCACTTATATTCTTATCTAATACCTTTTATTATGAGGTCTCAAGTTAGGGATACCATTTAAAATTTTTAAACATAGGTACTGAGGAAAATTCGAAAAATAAAAATAAGTTCGGGAAAAAAGACATACACTGTGTTTTATTTTAGACTTCAGCTTCAAATGAAAATAAAATTAATATTATTAGAGAATTACTTGTCCGGAAAAAAACCTATGGATGGTAACCCTATTTTAAGTGAATTCTTACATTGTAATTAGGTAAATACAATTCGAAGTTACTAATCTTTGTAACTGTCTACTTATGAATAGAATGTAAATGTTGTAAATTACGTAGGTATTATAATTTAAAACTAAAATTATATATTAAGAAAATCATAAAGCTCAATTCTAAAAAACCGATGAATGTGTAGTAAAATGTATATTGTCACACCAAAACTCTAAATAGTTGTTACTAACCGTGGCGTAAGAACCTATTAGATGAAATTGGAATCGAATGAAATTAAGTAATTTTATATATTTTTGTCAATGTCTATCACGGTATTATACTAATAATATTATCTGAACACCACTTAGATAGGAGAAAACACTAAATTATATTAAATGTAAGTTTAGTATCTGACTTGGTACCTAGTTGTCGAAATAAAATACTTTCTCCGTACAGTCCTATGTGTACAGCACCAAATTTTTATTTAATTTCATAAATCACTTTTATGTCATGGTCAAATAGGATGTCCGTTACTCACTATATTCTATTTGACAGATCTGTTCCCTGTTCTGAACCATGAAAACTGTGCTTTCTTCGTCTTCTTCTCTTCGTGTCGAGGTTCCACTTATAAAGATGCTGACTGACTGCTGACTCATACGACTTCTCTCCTGATCACTGGGGGTGGGTAGAGTTTGTTGAGAGGGGTCGGCTTGAGGCAGGCGTCACAGAGCGCGGCGGATACGAGACCAGCGTATACGGATCGATGCCAGACTAGACAGGCGTATTCACCTACGCCAAGACACAGCGCCAGTGCAATCGTGCGCTAGGTGTGAGCTGAAGCACCCCAGCTTGCTGAATTAAACTTGCGTTGCAAATTATTTCGAGAACTGACTTTGCTTTGGCTATTACAGCAGTGCCTCCTTAAGGTCAGAGACCTGCCCAGTGTTATTCCCAAGTATCGGGGATGAGAGCAGTGTTCGATCTCGATTCCATCCCACGCCAGGTTTAGGGTCCTCCGTGCCTGCTTATTGCGTAGGTGAAACACGCAGGTCTGCGTTTTACTTGAGTTCGGCCGGAGGCAGTTTTTTTATAATATTGGCTTAAGTTTTCTAGTACCGCCGAGAGTATCTTCTCCGTCTCTTCAAAGGTTTGATACTGTGCAGCCATGGCGAGGTCATCTGCATAGATGAAGCGTTGGGTTCCTGGTGCGTTAGGCTAGTCGTTTGTATTTAAATTGAAGAGAGTCGGTGCCAGAACGCTGCCCTGTGGAAGACCAACCTTTTGGCAGCACCAGCGGCTTTTCTGCGTGTGTAGTTGGACTTGAAAACGGCGATTACAAAGTTACCGCTCAAGATTCGGACGAAGCCCATATCTTTCGTAATGTTGACCATCTTAATCAGCAGAGACCTGATATTAACTGTGTCGTATGCCGCAGGTAAATCAACAAACACAACCCCAGTGACTATGCTGAGTTCGTATCCATCCTCGATGTACTGAGTTAGTTTGATCGCCCGGCCTGTGCATAATTTTCCGGGTGTGCTATGATTATTTCACACAAGGTGCAATTTAGTTTTGACCGCAAGTTGTCGCAGCCGTGGTCAAAGGCAGGCGCCGCTCTACTCTATAGTGGCCAAAGAAATTCTTAGCGCTAAAAAACTTAATTCGATCGCCTTGAAAGTTCATTGTTTTAATACACCTACCAAAACTTAACAGAGAAAAAATAAGTATTCGAAAAAGTATTGAATGGGTCCAGTAAAAATATTAAAAACTAACATCTGCTAGCGTCTTCGTCTCCGTTATTTTAGTGTCACGCAACTTTCTTATGATTTCCGTTATCTTTCCAATATTTTAAAAATTTTAAGGAAAATCATTACTGGGCTCTTGAAAATCCGCACTGTTATGTTAAGTTACTAAGATGATTACAATATAGTGTGGCGTCTTGTGATCATGACATTTTAAACAGACAAAATACAGATAGTTTTCGTTCCTCCTCTAAATACACTAGGTACTCGTTAAGACTGATATTTGTTTTTACTGAAACCTTTCGTACCCTTTCATAGCTGTTTATCATAATGTAAGTACACCTACGACTTTTATATTGCATCATTAAGTACATAAACTATGACTGATGTTATCACCACATAAATTTTAAATCCATTGTTTATTCCTAGTGAGTGTTATATCTCTATAAAAAGTAATATGTACATTATATGGTGTTTCCTAAGAATTTATTCTATGAAATCAATTCTAATACTTATTGTAAAGATAACAAAATGTTAGTTACTGTTTTTCATCTTCGAGCCCGATTTCTACAAAGCGTCATGTTTCCCTAATTTTCTTAAATGTGGTTGGTTATAGAATCGACAAGTTTTCGACAGCGATTTAGTGGCAAGCTACAATATCTTTTCTTGTTCAATAAGTGTATTACCGTACAATGTTTCTCGTTGTTAGTTATTACAAGAGGTTTTAAAATCTTGTTGTTTCGAAATTCATTTGACATTTCGCATTATCTTCTTTATATGATTATTTTTAAAGCTGTTTTTTTTTGTAAATGTCCGAATTATTATTTATTATAGGGTTGAATTCACAGTGGCATATTGTTAGAGTTGCAAAATAATCTTATTTCGTTAATCATAATCGTAGTTGGTGGTTAATGGGTTAGGTTAGTGTGGTGACCTACACTTAGCGCGAGCCAACGAAGTTCCAGCCACCTTTTAAGAAGATAAATAAAACAAAGAAAAGTTAAATGATTCTATGCCAAAAAACTATTCTGACCGTGAACTTTCTGCGATATGATGGATTGTGGATATGAAATTTATACCTAAAATTATTCGGCTTACAAAATTATGCCAAATAATTTTTTGCGGAATGAAGTTGATGAAGATCTATTTTCTGATATGCATAATAATTTATGATATTGAAAGTTCTACGATACAAGATAGACCCATTTTGAGATTAAAAAAACTGATAAATTGTAAAAAATACTAACCGATTTGAACCTCCTCCTTTTTGGAGTCGATATATAAAAGCCATTAATAAAAAATATAAGGAGATCACACAGCTGTTGATAAAAATAATCAAATAGTGATCTCCCAAAAAACACAATCTAACGAATGAAGATTGCTAATATTGTACCTACCGGTTTATAAACTTGCCAGATTTTCAATTCAATATCTGTGAATCGAAAATTTTTCGTTTATCTGGCATATAAGTTCCGAATAGGATATCAGGTACTCTCTAACTTGGCCAATAGTGAAAAGGACCCTAAAATAACTTAATGTCACATATATTTTTAAAACTTAGGTATTCTACTACCTATCTTGGCAAATTATAATTTGATAATGGATTTAACAATTTATTACGTTCAGGGGCCGACCGAGGATATCTTAACGCGATTTAATTGTGGTTACTAGAAAAAGAAATCTGTATATGGAATGTAGAGCACACAGAACACAGCAGGAGATTAAAACGGTGATCATACCAAGTTTGGTCAAGTTATGAGTATTTGCTCACACTAACTGTGGCGTGCCTGCCCCACCTAACCTGTTTACCTCTTTCTGTGTTCTGTGAATTGTTGTTGATGTGTTGATGTGCCAAAAGCTTATACAACATAGCTGTTATTCACTACGAATTTTGAAATATTTCAATATGTTTATTGTTTATTTCAATTTGACAAATAACATCTTCCTATTTACAATTTCGTATTTATTTGTTATACAAACCTTATAAATGTGAATATATATTAGAAGTACATAATGAAAAATATTTGTGATGGTTGTAAGTTAAATATTTACAACCAAATGATACCCTATCGATAAATTGTGTGAAGTTAATAGACTACAGTAAAATAAAATCAAAGTCAAAAATAATAATAAAAAAGAGAAAGATAAATCTAATGAAATAAAATGGTTTATTAAACGTTCATGAAGTTTTAATGATATACCTTTTTTCTCTCGCCCTCTTTAGATTTACGTTTGGTAGATATTAAAAATATCTGCCGCTCGTTTTATGACAAATATTAAGTACATTGAACTGTTTATGAATTTATCATAAGTCAGGCCTTCCGCAAACAAAAAGCAATTTTTGCGGGTTCTTTGCTCGAACCTTTTTATGTTATTTAGGGATTGGGTGCTTATGGAATTATTATAATGTACCGAACTTGATAAAATTTATTAGACATTCAATCTAATATATAAAATTCTCGTGTCACGGTGTGCGTAATTGAACTACTTGATTTTCGTGAAATTTTATATGCATAACTCAATAGGTCTGAGAATCGGACAACATCTATTTTTCATCCCCCTAAATGGGAAGGGTGGTCCACCCTTTTTGTTTTTTACAATTTTTTTTGTTTTTATTTTTTTATGATACATCATACAAAAACACCCAATACACACAATACAACCCTAAATTTTCACCCTTCCCCCATCAACCCCTATTTTTTTATGGCGGTCAGTTCGCTGAGACAGCTAGTATAATAACAATAATTTAGCCGCAGAAACAGTCTGACGATTACCACTAGTTATTTTTTTATTATTTAAAATTTAAGTAAAGTTTAAAGTAAGCTACTACGAACACAAAGGTCCCTTCACACTATCCTTATACGCTTAACTATTGCGCTATATTTTAAATCACGTATAAAAAGCCCATACAATATAGTATAGCTTGGTGTGTGTTTTATTTAAATGTATGGCGCGTGATATCATGCTATGAGTAAGCTATAATGCTAAATGGTAGTTAAATATGTGTACCGTTATGTTTGAAGTAGCTGAGTTAGAACTTTACTTATAAATTGTGGAAGAGGATCTTATAATTTATAGCAATTAGAAAGTACATTGTTATTTTGTCTTTCGAATGTTTAATACTTCTTAAAGTACCTATGAAATTTGACAGTTTTGTTCTTAGTAGAAGTGGACTTGCAGTCTAGGAACTCCTAGAAGAAATTAGATAGAGCCATTCAGCCCTCTGTGGCTTAGGTTAATGCTTTCGCCTAGACAGCGAATAATACTGGTTTGACAGGCTAGGCCTGAAGTATTAAGGTTATAATCAAGCGATTTAATGCATAAAGAATAATAATATATTAATGAGTTTAGGAAGAAACATACCGTTATTTTTAATTTTGTAATGTTAGTACCATGTTCTCGACTGTGCTTAAAAAAAGTTAGACGCTTCTAAATACCATAATCAGTCGAGAACATGACACATACTCGTAACTTTTTCTTAAAATATTATTACATAAGTGTTCCTTGAAGTTTTGTTTACGGATTCCAACCTAAGTGTCATATAACTAGAAACACGGGCGTTAGATACTTCAGACAAGACACGTCTTATATTATTTGTGTAATCAGCAAGTTCGTGCGAATTGGGGGTTCGTTACAGCAACTAGATTTACGCACTACGACGTGACTGAAAATGTTTTCAGTGTCATGACGCAATCGAAGAAAAGCTATTACGGAATACAGCATAGGTACAAAATTTATGGTAATGGAAATATGTATGTATATTGCAAGGGCGAAATTCATTATAAAAAGTAAAATATAACTTATATTCATAAAAAAAACTAGAAAAAACACCTACTCGGCTCAGTTGTTTAACCTAAAACCAATAAATCCAGTCATTTGCTCAAAAAAGAAACAAAATAAGTATTAAGATTTTTAAATTATCATGAAAAAAAAACCAATAGCACGATTTTATGCCATGAGGTATTTTTATAAGGACCCAATCAAAAAAACGACTCTTAGAACACCCCCATTTATTATTCTTATCATATGACCTACCTCACGTTACCTTTACTTCTGTAATAAATAAAGATTATCAATAATTAGATGGCGTTATCTAATCCAGACTCGACCCTTATTAATATTCGGCACCCGTACCGAATGACAATATTATCGATATAAATATTCATGGGTCAATACGACCCACTCCACCCAATAGACGGGAGAAATCTCGGAGTAAAAACATAAAAAACGACTGGAGCTTTGATAATTTTAATTACTCTCAAAACAATTAACGAGATTTCTTGGACAGAAAAAAATAGCTATACCTACGTACACTCAAACGACGAAAAAACTTGTCTTCACAAGTCTCATTAATTAAATAAAAAAAAATAAGGTGAGTTCAGCTTTTACGTAAATCCTTATCTATATATATAAAAATGAAACCCGTTTTCCGTTGTCACGACATAACATGAAAACGGCTTGACCGATTTGGCTGTTTTTTTTTTTGTAGTTTTCTAATACTCTGTACAAGGTTCTTACGGAAAAAAATATAAAGAAAATCCCAAGGGGATAAAATAAGGAATGAAAGTTTGTATGAAACTTTATCAATTTTAAACCGATCGGGCTGAGACTTTGCATGCAGGTATAAGAAGAATCATAGATGAATGTCATTGTGTATAATACAAGCCTGAGAACAAAAACTGTAGTCTACACTTCAGCTCTTCAGCACCGAAGCGAAGCGAGGGCGGGCCGCTAGTATATTATAAAACAAAGTGCGGTTTTCACTATTACTTAGATGTTTTCTCACGGAAAATTTATGTACCCATATATGTCAGAGATATAAAATATATATCGGTATAAAATATGTCAGAGAACAAAAACTATAGCTCACGCCGAAACAAAGCGACGACGAGTGACTAGATAAATAACGTGAAAGTTGAAATGAAATTCTAAAAATTAAAGACTTTTATTTTAATTAAATTTTTAAACGGTCCCAGGAAATTACTTATCTGCTTATCGAAGGCATTATAGAGATGATGAGGATGTGACAGATAATTCCTTACCGAGAGAAAATATCTTCTCAGCAACGAACGCAATGGGAGGCATTTCCTCGGCGACCGTTAATTTGGATCGCAGCGGGGTTCTGCTCAATCATCGTAACTCGTAAAATTCACGCACTTTTTCAGTAATAAAATCGAGGCTTATAACCTACAATCTTATCCTTAAGCACCCATGTGATCTTACCGTTCCAAAAATAAAGTCTAAAATGATATAACGATCAGGGAAAGTAAAGCTTGCTGTACGCTTGTTCCCGAAATTGAACGCACGCATAAAATTGACGAGATACGAAAGGTAACGTGATTTTTGGGAAGACGAAGTATTTTCACTGATGAAGATAATGTACCAGAGCTCAAATATCCACAGTTTCTTATTATCTCGTGTAGGGTCTGTCTCCAAACTATAGCAATATATTTGAATTATAAAGATACTCTGATCTATAATTGAAATACGAGTATCATTATTTTAATACAGTAAATGCGCATCCAAGTTTTTTTTAGAAAATTGTCACATTTCTCGTTGAAAATTTAAATCAGACTTGAGTTCGATCGTTTTATCTTATTGTTAAAGAATATCTTAATATCTACAATGGAATCTGGAAAGAACTTGATTGACGAGTTTCCAGTCTGAAAGATGAAAACTAAAAAAGATAATAAAAAACGATATCAAAATAGTTACTTTTTAACTCAGCATAATGCACTATTTAAATTCCTTGTTTATTTCTAAAATTTAAATCATACAGCATTTATTTTCAAACAGTTTTCGTGTGTAAAGCTAATTCATTTTAAAATTATATATTAAATTAACATTATACCTAACAAAGTAAGTAATTTTATTTCATGCCAAAAGTATTTTTTGTTATAATAAATGTCTTCTTAATACCTTATTTATGATGAAATAATAAAATTATTACTCACCACACGCACGAGAACAGTTCCGTACCGTTATAATGAACTTTATATTAGTAAGTAGGATGTTTATGAAATAAATTATCCGATTCTTCGCAAAGGACACACAAGTTTTGAGAAGATTTATGACCAATAAGACCTAATTGTTGTTGCTAGATTCACAAATAGCTTATATTGGCTCTGGTTGACTTTACGATGTAGTTGTAACATACCAAGATTCATGTTACGGGCTATCTCTAATTAATCTTTAGTGCTTCGTATGCGGGATGGGGTAATCTGTCAGGGAGACATGTTTATGCTCTCTCATATCAGTAACGTCTTCAGTCGTCGGCTGTAGACGTTGCTAGAGAAGGCAGTTACTGATGTTTAGTACTTACACACAGGGTCGGATTTTAGTCAGGGCAGGCGGGACTGTGCCTAGGGCGCCAATTAAAAGACATAAATAAATATATATGTTGCCTGGCCTAGATTTGGAGGCTGGAGGCCTCGTTGCCCCAGGGCCTCCACACCCAGTTGGAAAGATTATCGTTACATATGATTGCCTTATTCCGAACCCAAAGTAAAAATGACTTGTGTTATTGAAAGGAAATCAAAAACGACAAACATTGGATGTAATTTTATCGCAAATCGGAAAAAGGATCAGGTATTCTCTGAGCATAAGCAAAAGTACGTCACACCTCTAAAATTTAGAGTCTAAATACGCCGTAGGAGCCTAGGCGATGCCTTTGAAAATGGTGAAAAGTGAAAAAAATCAGATCAGAATTAAACACATTTCAAAAGGAAGAAAACACATTTGAAAGAAGAGGAAAAATAATTTACGGGTGATTTGAGGTCAGATCGGGGGCTGACCTTTTAAAAGTTGAAATGGTTTATAGCGATTTTCGGAAAAAGTACAAAAAAATCAATGGCAAAGTTGTCGATAATCAAAAGATTTACAACATTTGTATTTACACTTATTTCAAATAATCTAAAAATATATAGGAGCGTGTCGCCTTGCGAAGCAGGCGGCTCCGTTTTAATGTAGAGCAATTCCCCATAATGCCCCCCACCTAGCTACGGCCAAGGCCACGAAACAAACAACTTTGTTATTAATTATGCAATTTTACCTGTAAGTATTAACAACTTCTAAGAAAAGAATTCAGAAATTTCTGTCAGTGTCAGATAGCCGGACATAATAGAACGATCTTCACATAAATATTTTGTTATAATTCTGCTAAGAAATCTCAGTA